GGATTTGTTAGTGACATCATCTAACTTGATTTGGGGCACTTTTTGATGTTTTGCATGTTGTGCTCAGTGCCAATAATTCCTACTTCAGTTATAATTCATGTTCTTTTCAAAAGTGGTCTTTAAAGGGTAGCCTCCAATGTTACAAGTCTAACTTCTATTGGCAACAGTGTGGATTTCTCATCTTTGCAAACCTGCTTCACTTGTGGTTTCTTTGAATGAAGTTACGGTTTTAGACTGGAAAGAATAAAGATGCTGCTTGGCCTGCTGTGTTCATCCAGCTCTACACCTTGTTGCCCCTATGCATTGGTGTCTTGTACATTGAAAATCAAGATGCAACTGTCCAAAGCTATTCACAATGGATTCTCACAGCAGTAAATGAGTGGAAGATTATATACAAATATTCTGCTTTCTTTCAAAATTAAAATCAATTTATATTAGGAAAGGTACAGATATTTACAAGGGTGACTTTTGATGCATTAAGTTGCACAGTAACATTATGAATATAGATTGGGTTTTGTTTCTTTTGTAGACCTTTGAATGAAATAAAATGAATCTGAAAAATTATACTCTGCTGTATTTTGATTTTATGCAATTATTTATTTTTGTCTTTTCCTGTCTTTTCAGTACTCTGAGTGTGGATATCATGAGGTTAACATCATGTAGAATAGTAAACATGTTGAAGAATAGTTCAAATAACTCTTCTGTACAGCTTGAGGCCCTTAAAGTCATGTCACACATTATTTGTCCTGGTAAGTGAGGAAAAAAATAAACAGACTTTGTGCATATGTTAGTGAATTAATGCTTTTAATACAAAAAATATTTATTTATTCATTAGTATTTTGTATTCCAACTGACTTTTTACAAAGTTATGTTGATGGACACCTCTGACTATTTTTTAAGTACTGGGGAATTTTGGTGGAATTTTAGTTCTGGCTGGAGATGTGAATTCTGTGGGCAACCGGAGGTTTGTACAATCCACATGTCATCAACTTGTGAAAGCCTCCAAAGGCATTTGAACTTTAAAGTCTCATCATATCTTTGACTTTAAGACACTTGAATTCCTTATGATCTGATTTCAGCTTAATTATTTTAAATATGTAGTCATTAGGTATTACAAAACTTGCGTATAGCTGAAAATAGACATTTTTTCAAAATATTTGGTCTTGTACTCATCAGGAGAATTTACAAGAATATAAATGTGAAAGTGAAAAACATTTTTATACTGTCTGAACAGAACATGCTGCTTAATTGTCCAGTCAATTCTGATTTGGAGAGATGTCATCATGAAGAATGCACAAGTTAAATGCCAAACAATTTAAATGTGAACCAGGCAATTTGAATTTTGCTCTGAACCAGAAAATGGCTATCATCTCTTTTGTTCAGTTGAAACAAGCTTAATATGTATACATGCTGTTTCTGTTTGCAACGTATCGGCCCCTGTGAATTAGTATACATAACTTCAAGTGCATGCAAGTAAACCACCATAACAGTCCAAATGACAATCCAAAATTAGATGTCAGTGTAATTCTTCGCATGCTTGGTATTATTTAGCAAATGTTGTCCAGTCGACTCCTATCTAATGTTGGACGCTACTTTAGAACGTGGGATGGTTGTACACGTAAGTACCTTACCTATTGTGAATACCTGAAGGGTCATGTTTGTCATAGGAATGTAGGTTGCACATGTCACAATCACACCAGCATTGAAATTCACATACTATATCACTCATTGTGTGATAGGCACATGTCTTTCTGATTTGTGGCAGCATTCTGCTACTGGCAAACACCACTCATTCACTGTGAAACAGATCACTTAATCTTTTGCTGAAGTTTTTTAGAAATCTTACCTTTTAAGTATTATCTGAGATAGACTGCATAGTTTTCAGGATCGAAGGTGGGGGCTTTAGATCTGTTTATGGTTTGTATGGCATATAATGAGCAATAGCCTGATCTAGGTAGCCATTTTCTTGCAGGACAGCATGCAGCTTGTACAGTGAGCAAATGGTCATATTTGAAGTTGTGAATGAGGACAACCTTGACTGCACATTTGAGCAACAATTAGAGTTAGCTTTTTCACGTTGCTGCTATGCAACATGCAAATGGTGTTTGCCACTAACAGGATGCTGCCTTTAAACCAAAACCATGTCTGTCTTTCTCTCAAATACGATGTATGAACTTCAGTTCAAATGTGATGTTAGATACATATGCTATATGTCACAAAGATTGGCAGAACACATAAAATAGCATATTCTTTCAGTTGTTTGGAACAAGCAAAGCACTGACTCTGTCTGACCATCCCATGTTTGCAAAACTCTAAACACAATGTCCAATATTAAATGTGAATTCATGATTGATCAACATTTGCTAAATAATGCTGAGTTTCCGAAGAATCACACTGACAATCCATTTAGGATTGTCAATAGGGCTCATAGAGTAGTAAACTTGTGATTATTAGAGGCTACATATATTAATGCACTGGACCATGCTATTTGAAGATACAATGAATTGTGCATACACTGTGCCTGTTTTGACTGAACAAAGTAAGTGAAGGCCATTCACTGGCTCCGATCAGATTCAAATTGCCTAATAAAGACTGAAAAAAGTGTGAATGCTGTAAATCAGGAACAAAAACGGAAATTGCTGGAAGCTCAGCAGGTCTGGCAGCATCTGTGATGGAAAAAATAAGAGTTAACGGATCGGGTCCGATGACTGTTCCTCAGAATTGATGGTAGGCTGGGAAAATGTTGGTCTGTATGCAGAAAATGGGGAGAGGTATGGGGTAGGGAGTAAACAATAGGATAGAGCCCGAAGAGAGAGAAGAGCATTTGGATAGACAAAAGAGTTTATAACGATCTGGCTCGGAGGGTGAATAGTTGTTAATGGGAACTGTTAGTGACTAACAATAGATAGTGTGTAATGGTAGGCTATGTGATAACAAGGTCTGGTGTGTAGGGTAGGGGGCTAGGACATGGGCGAGTTCAGGCCCTAAAATTATTGAACTCGATATTGTGTCTAGAGAGCTGCAGGGTCCCCAAGTAGAAAGTGAGGTGTTGTTATTCCAGCTTGCGCTGACCCTCACTGGAACACAGCAGCAAGCCAGAGACAGATGTTGGTCAGGGAACAGGGTGGTGTGTTAACAGGTAACAGGTAGCTCAGGGTCTTTTTTGCGAGCAGAACGTGGATGTTCTGCGAAGCGGTCACCCAGTCTCAAATTGCCTAGTTCAAGTTTAAACCGAGCTTGGCAGTTAATCTTCTGTCATCATCTAACTGTTATGCATTCTTCATGGTGACACCTCGACAAATCAGTGTGCTCTACTCATATGATTTAAAACTAATGTTCTCTTTTACATTGGCATTCTTGTGAATTGTCCTAAGTACAAGATGAAAAGCTTTGACAAAATGTTTCTATTTTAAATTATTGTGCTGTATTGCTTGACTTATGTGCCATCTTAAAAAAGGTGATGTGGAAAGAGATTATGATTTGACATTGTTGAAACCAGCGTTGAATCCAGTGTTTGTTCAACTGTCTGATGGGAGGACAATGTTCTGTTTCTGAAGCCATGCATTCAGCCTACTTGCATGGAACATTGCAGAAGGTGAAGGACAGAAAGGTCAGTGGAAGTGGGTTCGAGAATTAAATTAACAGATGGTTCGTAGTCAGAACTATGGACTGAATGGAGGTGGTCCGTGAATTGGCCCTCCTATCTATTATGTTTTCTGTGCAAATAAGAATACATCATGAGCAGTGAATACAATATAGTAAATTGAAATAAGTATGAGTAAATTACTTTATTAGCTGTCTCGATGCTTGAAAAATAGGAAGTGTTGAAGTAAAAGGGCAGGTGTTATGTCTCCTGAGCTTGCAAAGGAAGGTGCCATGAGAGGGGTTGGGTTTGTTGGAGGTGATTTGAGATGTTGGACAGGGAACAAACAACCCCTTTGGAATGTGGGAAGGGTGGGGAGTGATGGGCAGCATGCTTCAATGTGGCATCATTCTGTGGATGGCAGAGATGTTTTGAATGGGGAAGCTGGTTGGATGGAAGGAAAAGCTAAAAGAAGTTTTCCCATGTTTATGAGAGGGAGGAAGTGAAAAGGTTGATAGCAGAAATGCTAAACATGAATCTGACAAATTCAAAGGCAACCATGCTGGTCGTCAGGTCGTCCTTGGTTGCGGGAAAAAAGAAAGACATATCAGACAGTCTGGAGTGGAAGGTGGACTGTCACAACAGATGCAACAGAACCAAAGATGACCTAGTGCTTTATTGGAAAAGTTGGGAGGAAATTTAGTCAAGGTAGCTTTGGGAGCCAGTGGGCTTAGA